GGTTGTGGTAGGAAAGTACAAAAAATTAATTAATTAGCCCAACTACTAATATTTTAAGATGTCACTACCTACCTGGGTTATCATCCCATGAACTTGGTACAACAACACAACTAATGTCAATTAGTGTAATATTGGGCGATGAATAAGTAATAATGATCTACAGTTCACGGCCACAGTCCATACAGTAATCATGTTATTTTGTGGTCAAGACTTATATTTTGTTACACTGTGTATTCACTTGTTTATTTAATACAGTTTTCTTTTTTAATGTTTATTGACACTTAGGGCTAAATTTATAAAATACAAAACAATATGTACTTTTTTATCTAACAGATTTATTGAAAATTTTATGGGACTTGAAAAGAAAAGTGTCAACACAAAAAATATACAAGATACCTCAGTTTAATTTTTTTTACAAGTCACTTTGCAGTCAAAATTCCTCTTATATTATACTATATATTCTTTTGAACTGGCACAGAAGAGCCAGACACAAAATAGGTACTGATTAAATACAGTTCTCTATTAAAACAAATTAAATTAGTAAAACACTCATAAACACAATAGTTAAGATATAATATATTACATAGCATAAATGTTTTCATCATATTGACTTTCTCAGTGTTGGCATATTTATAATGATAAGGCCTCAGTTAAGGCTACAGCATGAAGCCAGTAGCTGTTCTTAGTGTGAAGATACTGTTAGTTTTGTTAGTTCTGAATGGTGCTTTGAAGACTTCATTAAAGATATGGTTAAGTTTTGTTAAGTTCTGCTTGGTTTAACAGCGTTTTGAAGACAGTGAGGATACTGTTGTTAGTTTGTTAGGGTGAACAGCAGTGCTAAGAAGACTTGGTGAAGATAATGTTGTGTGAGTTTTGTTACTAAGGTTTAAGGACAGTGCCTTGAAGACTTCTGAAATGGTAGACAAATACTGATATAGTAAATTCCAGGCTAAGACTTGGATGAAGTATGAAGATGTATATATAACAGGAAGAAAGTCTGTGCATGTGTGCATCTTTGTAAGTAAATCTTGCCCTAAACAGAAGCATTGACAATGGTAAGGCCCTTATAAATTATACCAAGTTAAAGCATCTTGCGCTTTGTCAGTCCACCAGAAATTGCACGATTCAGCTTTATCATATAAGATGTGTACTGTACTGGCTCAGCTCTCAGAAGATTGCCTTTTAATGTTTTATAACACATGTGCCAGAATGTGACCAGTTAAAGGTGCACAATAACAAGAAAGCATCACTTACTTGTAATATATGCTGATACTACATAGTTCTGTATATGTATTAAAAAGCAAATGTTGGTTTCAAATGAACTTCAGTTTTAAAATGATCTTAATACTGACTTTCAGTTTAAACCATTGAAAATACTGTGGAAGTTTCCCAACTTTTGATGTTTACCTAAATCTTTAATTGTTCTTGTAGTCCTCAATGTGTATCTTCCTGTCCTGGGAGTAACAAGTAGTACGTTAGAGTGAAGCATCATGACTGGTCTAGAGCATATAATAACATGGGACTTCTTAAATATAAAATAACTTTCAATGAATAAATTTGTTAAAGCCCTCGCACTACTATCTTTATTATCGAGTGTCCTGTACTACTCTCAGAGCAGTTATACACTTCAGTTTCCAGCATATAAAATATTTCATTTCTATGCTAAATATCTTAGGTTATCTGGCTGATGACATTAACCATTACTTGTGAAAGAAAAACTGCCACCTAACATATGCCTACTTCAACAAATTTTATATCAGGATAACTTGTTTAAAACTTTACAGTATCATTACATACTGTCTGTATCAGTTATTGTAAGCAGAAAACCCTTATTATAAACCTTGGGACCATTCCATTATGATACTTTGAATGTTAAATAAGAAAACAAAACAAATTTACTCAACTGTACTGTATAATGTTCCTTTTGTTTTTAAAAAAGTATTAAGAAAATATAAAGGCTTTTGTTTCTGTGGAAGCAGCAAATTGCATTAGGAATGTCGATTGTTATTTGGATTACTTACTTTCTAATGATAAAACTTAAGTTCTGGACTAAAGATTATTTGCCAAATTAGCAAATTCATTATATTGCATAATATTCTAATTTCTCCTACTGCGCTGTCCAGACTTAACTATGTTTGTCTTATATGATGACATAAACAGTGCCACAGTACAAGCTGAACTAATCCCTATAAAGAAATATGCTAGTTAAGCAAAGTCATCAGATCCAAGTCACAGAATGCACAGCACACACCACTAACAACCATGAATTCTCGAGATGGTACAGAGTTACGGAAGTTTGTGAGGGAAACACCACATTTGTGTTGTACAGGTTTGTGAGTGGCAGTTTAGAATTATTCTTAAATATAAAAATACTCGTGTCGGGGAGCCAACAAGTAACGTGGTTTAACCGATGAATCGTTTTAGTTTACATTTGAACATTGGGGCATCTCTAGAATTCAATTCAAGTTACAAATGCTACTGTAGCCATTCTATTGTGTAAATGACAGTCTCCATACAGATACTTCCTTTGACAGCTGTTTTGTGGAGGATAACAGTAACTCGTGGGGCATAACCGTGACTAAGTTGGCATCTATTAATAGGCCGAGCACACACTGGGCAACTATAGATTACTTGGCAATGAAGACTACTGAGCTTATTGCAACAAATATTTTTTTACACTAGATAATGCTGCTTGGAATGGACATGCACAGTGCCAAACAATATAAATAGTTAACAAATACAGTATTGGCAATGTGCTCCCACACTTTTTGTTGCTATTCCTGTAACTATCATTAATTGAAGTCTTATGTTAACTAAAGAATAGCAATTACTTTATTTTACTGAAGAGATTACTATGTCAATTTTGAGAGATGTACACGTAATGTATTGAATATCTGTTCATGATGTGGTATAAAGGCCGCAAATATTTCTATATAAAATGATGCACTTGCACAACTTATATAAAAAGGCCGGCTCAAAATATAAAGTACTGTACCATTAACTGTAATGTTTACCACCAACAAACTCTATCACTCCTAAAAGCACTACATAGATCTGCATTTTTCTTCAGGAATACACTACGTCTGATTAAAGCACTACATTTTCCACAAAATCTGATACAGAGGTTCCTCAGTAATTCACACGACTCACATTGTATCAGTAAAGGCAAACAGAAATTCCTTAACCATCTGCTTCACAAAAACATTAATCATAGGCCATCCTTCTCTCTTAGAGCACAGGCTTTAAAAGTTACTTTATAATTTTTGTATTCCATCTAAGATTAAGGATGGATCCTATTCAAATTTGAGCTGACTTGGCTGCGGCAAAACACAGAGCTGTTCTAACATTACACACATGGTATGGGGGAGGTACGTCATGCTAGGCTTTACAAAAACAGATCATGCTACTGTACTCAGGGAGACTCGAGACACACATAAAGCCTCAAAATATGTTGCTTTTGTTCTTCTCTTGTAATAATGTGGCCGACGCCTCATACTCGTACATATTCTCTTGTCTTTCAAGTTTTACAGTTTCAAAGAGTATTAAGAGGGGGAGGACATTACTGTAAAACAATGCAGCCACATCATCAGAGAAAATTAGAATAGATTAAAGTATAAATGTTTTAGTTGAATATATACCGGTAAGCAAAGTGACAAAAAAAGAGTACCATTGGCTGTGCAAACTTAATATTCCACTCTGTTGATTTTTCTTATATATATATCGTGTCTATTTTCTTTACACTAGTTTTGATATTTTGTATTGTACACAAATATACTGTACAAATTCTTGTTTTGATCCAGAGATGAGGTGCAGATTTCTAAAAAATAATAATAATAATAATCTCCTATGTTAATCGAGGGTTACTGTTGGGTTTATGAGGGACACAGATGAATATTTGTTGTTGACATATAAACGGTTATATTTTCCAACAACTGATGGCTGCTGCTGCTGCTACAATAACATATAATCCAGTATTAACGCTTAAAATTAAATCATACAATCGGAGAAGAGTTTTGTTCCATCATAAAAATACTAATGGGGCATTCCACCTCTATATGGGTCACATTTGGAAGTTCAAGACACTTTACTTCAAGAATTTTAGCCATTGTACGAATTTAATGATTAGGTAAGAAATTTCAAATCCTTAAAAGAATAAACTAGTAAATGGCTGCCAAGTTAAATGCACCACCCATTACAAGAGTACTGTACTATACTGTCTCCATACACAAAAGAAACACAAGTACTCCAACTCAAATTAATTTCATTCAAGAGAGAAAACTTAAAAGTAATTGTAACTACATTTAATTCAAGCTATTACTGGACTCAAAATTATGTAATGACTTAAATATTATTATGCAAGTACTGTAGGTCAGTTTCATGTGCATTTCTGATACCCAAACTCTCAGTGCACCACCTCTTCTTAATGTATGACCTTACGTAACAGTATAACATGATAGTTTCAGCATGAGCGCCGACTTCGTGATGCGTGGGATGGTGGTGCTCTTCCTCGGTGAAAGATTAATTTCACTCAGGATTCTTGTTAATTCACCACCAAGTCATTCAGGTATGCCAATACTGGAGGTGCAGTATGGATCTCAATATTTTTAGTATTATATTTGATGGTTTTCAGTGTCTTGTTTGCCATTTGAGTATTATGGATGTAAACCCCAGTGGGGGTGAAGGCTGAGTTGAGCCGACTTTCTTTATTGCTCTAATGTTTTGGGTTCGCTGTAGCCCGAAATGTTGGAGAACTGAAGAAAGTCGGCTCATCCCTGTGTTTCCCTCCCACCCGTCAAATCCACTTACGTAGCATCGATAGATCACATGAGTACATTATATTTATGCCCCCAATAATACTATTGTAATTCTAAATATTTTGTATAGTACAGTATATAAGTTTCACATATTATATAAATATTATAATAATTATCAAATTTTGTAATAAATTTTCTACTGTAGTTTTACATCTTATCGTATAATCTGAATTAGAAAGAGTAAAGCCATATATCATCACTTTATTGGCACTACTGTACTATTTCATGACACTTACATAATAATTCATTAGTCATTTGCCTTCATAAGACATTGTATCAAAGCTCAGATAATGGTTGTCATCAAATGAGCTTCACTACATCACCAATGAAGACATAAGCTACCAATATAAATCAATGGGTTAGTTTACATGGGAGTATCTGGACGCTCTTTGATCCACTTCTCAATCTGTGGAAGTTTAATAACTTTTTCAACTAAAATTTTCAGCCGTGGTACAGCTTCAAGAGAAGCTTCATGGTGAGAGCTGAGCTGGCTGAGGTAACACGCTGCGAACACATCAACCCACGTCATCTGTGGGGAAGGTACACTTGTTACATATTTTGAACAGATTAAATGCTGTATGTGATACAACATAACTGGGCTAGTTAGTTAAAGATCACAAATATAATTTGGCTTAGGTATTTTATACCAAAAAAGCAAAGTAAAGAGTAGTTTGTCATATTTTGATGGAAAAACATGATCAAGTTCTTGGGGAATATCATAACTAAAACTTGTTTTGAAAATTATTCATTATCTCAATACTGTACTGTACAGTATCTTGATTAATGCAATACCTTACAGGGGAGTTATTTTACATTCTTAATATTGTACTGTACAGCTCCTTTATTTTTATGCTTTAAACACATTATAGACTTCACTGGTCACATTAATTCAACACCTTATAGGTAACATTCCCCTTTACCATCTATAGGCACCATAGGGGGGTGGTCACACCCTCTGACCTGACCTGGCTTCTAGCGCTGTATGAAGTGTGGTACAGGTGTGAGACGTTACTTTGTGTGCCTTAGTTATCTCGGTACCTTGACCCTATAAATGTGGACTGTATAAGTACCATAACCGAACTGTAAAGAAGAAAATACAGTGTGGCGTGGCACCCGGGCCTCTGCCATCAAGGTTGAGGTCAGAGGTCAGGCAATGAGATGCCAGTGACTCGCCGCTTACCTCCTTCTTACGTATGGAACTATAGAGGTCAACTTACCTCGCATCGTAAGAGGATTATGCCTCCCAGCCACTGCTGACTGCCTGTAAGCCACACACTACTGGACAACCAAACTTGTATTTTATGCATTGTGAAACAGTGTTATACTTAGTGACTTCACATTAGTGTGAGTGAGCCATGACGATGTGTAAAGTGGCATCCACAGTGCCCCTCCTCCATGTACGTGGCTCCATAGTAAAAGTTACTCGACCACAAGTAAATACAGTGGAGTTTTATCACTCCACCAAATCTGAATCGACCAATGAAGACACTGCAGATTACTCCTTAGAACAAAGTGTGTTACTGAATATTAGGTGTCCTTCCTAACACAGTCACTTGAAAGATTACCTTAACTAACAGGACAACAGCTGCAAATCTGTTGCCTGTATAACAAGTGATCTAACCCGTGGCAATCCATATTGGCATTGTACAATATGAGTCATGCCGAGGGCCAACTACCCACATCATGGGCCAACAGTATATTGTTGTACCAATACCGAAACCAGGACAGCCTGATGCTTTTCGCCCCATATCACTAACCAGCTGCCTGTGTAAAACCTTTGAGAGGATGGTTCTTGGCAGACTCTTATATAGAATCAGAGAACACATGTCTCCTAACATAAATGGCTTCACCCATGGTAAAGGTGTACATAATTGCATCACCACATTCCTAACTGTGCATGGGGATGAAAGGCACAGATACACCACATTTCTTGACCTAAAAGCTGCATTTGATATTGCCAATAGGCAACTTATAATGGACGAACTAGTCGGCTGTTACATTAGATAAGTGATTACCTAACCAACAATAGGGCTGCTGCACTGTTTCAGGGTTACAAAAATGAAGTTAAAGATATGCAACTTGGCACCCCTCAAGGTGGAGTACTTAGTCCCACTTTGTTCAATTAAATTTAATACCAGACAACCCCTACAATATCACAATCAGCTATGCTGATGATATTCTTATACATACTAAAACTCATTGTGAAATGCAAACCACCCTGAACCAAGTACATGAAGCCTGTGAGAACCTCGGTCTTATTATCTCCACTGAAAAAACTAAGGTGTTCAACAAACAAGCTGTTAACCGCAAATGTGGCCCCGCCAAGTTCAAGATAGGTAACAACACTATTGAATATGTTACTTCTTTTAAATATCTTGGTGTCTCCGTCCCTTGTACCTAACCTGCTATACAGCAGCTAACCCGCCACTGCACTGACAGACTGAAACCTCTTAGAAACGTAGCGGCAGTGTTGTACGCGTCAACGAAAAAGTGGTGCGGCAAGTGTCAGCGTAAACGGCCAAGAATTTGATGCCGTCAGCGTCGGAGTAAACGATTTCATAAATTGATGCCATTAGCGTCAGCATCAACACCTAGTGTCAACGAGTTTTCAGTGACGTACAAATGCAGCCCTGAAACGCGTATTCTCCTGTGTATGGGAGTAACATGTGCAAATTCAAAAAATGTTCATTCATTTTTAATCATTTATTATGATTTATATTATATCATTTTAATTATTCATTTGTTCCCCCGCAAGAAAACTAGCATCTCAAAATGCTTGTCGCTCATTCTGCTGCGCTTGGGCCTCAAGACGTCCTTGCCCATGGAGAACATGTGCTCCACGGCAGCACTAGAGGGGATGGGGGTGTTGTATTTGATGAACAACTCCCTCATGGTCTTGTCGGTCATCTTTATACAAGATAATTGAAAATCGAACTTGGAAAAATACAATTTTTTAGAAGTTGGAGAACAAATTAACGATTGACGCTCCGCTCGGGTGAAAAGTTGACTGCGTCACCAGTAGCGTCACCTGCCCAAAAAATTTATGCCGTCAGCGTTAACAAAAAGTTTTGACGGCATTAAATTAATTGCATCAACGTACAACGCTGTGTAGTGGGGTACAGCCCACATTATGGTGCTAATATTAGAATTGTTAAAACAATGTACCTAAGCTATATAAGATCTCTGATAGATTACCACGCACCAGCCCTGGTCCTTCTTGACGGGAAAAGCATTGATAAGCTCGAAAAAATGCAAAAGAAAGCCCTCAGAATTATCCAAGGATGCCCCATGAGCAATAAAGTACAGTACTTAATATGAGGAAAGAACTAGGTATAACCAGTGTCAAAGATAGATAAGTCAACCTCATGATAGCCCTGAGGCTTCTGTGTGGTGATCCTGAGAACATTGTTTCCTTAAAGTTGCTAGAATGTATGAACCATGGGACTGGTGAGTCTAAATGGATCCGAACTACAGCTACACATATGAAGACGTTTGGACTAGACCATCTGTATAAAGTTGAGACACAACAGTGCTTCCTTCCACCCTGGCGGACAGTTCCCTTTGATATCACAATACTTGTACCGACATATCCGCTCTTGAACACATACACACTCTACAGACTGATAATATCACACAGACCATCTACACTGATGGATCTCTTAACACCGCCTGTGGGAGGGCTGGAGGTGCTATCGTTGTGACTCAACCTAACGGTAATACAATTGAGAAAGGAGGTAGAATTAACAACTGGGCATCCACTCTACAAACTGAATTAATTGCCATACTCACAGCTATTAAATTTATTGAAACCACTGTCACTGACAGTCTCATCATCACTGACTCTATCCTCACTACTTGCCCTTGACACCCTTCACTCAAGTTGTCACGCGCTTGTCTCTGAAGCCAGACACAAATATGCGTACCTTGTTGACCGGGGTGTCAAGGTCAAACTGTTGTGGATCCCCTCTCACATAGGCCTCAAAGAACATGACAGAGTTGATGCCCTCGCCAAACTCACGTCTAACAAAGACACTGTTGAATACAATCTGGGTCTGTCAAAAAGAACCCTTAAAACTGTAATTAGGAAGGAACTTATTGATGAATTTGACACAAGCAGACAAGTGCAAACAGGCACTAGTCGATCCATAGTTTACCATGATGAGATGTATCAAATGAAACATGTATATGGAGCAAGTAACAAGATCACTAGATTACAAGATGTTGTAACCGTTAGAGTAAGGTTAGGATACAAGTACTTCTGGCAGTATGTTCCTCAAACAGATGTGAACAAGACTAATGTAAATGAAAAGTGTGTGGTATGGCCACACACTTGAACACTAAGTCCTCGACTGTGTGAAAATAGAACCTTTTAGGGACAGGTCCAAGCACACTGTGTGTGTGTGTGAGAATGGCACAACACTTTATCTCTAATGGCAAGATAGTTGACAAATTAGATTGTATCCACTTTTTTGCACTTAGTAGCTATATCAGTTCCCACACAAAGTGCTTGAATACTTCTCACGCAAATGTGAATAACAAAGTTTGCGGCCAGACATACTGCCCCACAGTCCTGTACTCACGCAGTTGCTAATAAGTTACCCTTTATGTATAGAACTAAAAAAGAATTTATTTGAAATACAGTACTGTGTAACATTCAATACCATAATATCCTGACCACCGGGGTCAGTGATACTGACCCTTTGTGAACCCTACTATGTAATCCTTTAGTGCTACCGCTCACAGGATGAGTATGGGGTGCACAATAAACTAGCCTCTTAAGTGGCAAAATTAATAATTCATATTTTCCCTCTACCTTATCTCCACAGAACCAATCTCGCCCCTCGAGTCTGCGGTCAAGTTCCCTCATCACAGGTGGCAGTGTGCTGGTGTAGAACTCAGTGGCCAACATCTTGGCCTTCTCTACATCACCTGCAAGTCTGTTGAAAAAATACGTTTTAAAGAAGTGCTCAGCATCTTTATTTATTGTTAAGCTTCATACTGCCTCTGCATTAAAATGAAATATACTTAGTTTTTGAAAATCCTATAACTGAACATCAGTGCAGGAGAAGCACTGAGGTCTTTAAAAAGGTACAGTAAATCCAGACCAGTATTCCTAACAGATTTGTCACATCTATTGTCTTACATCCATCATTCACACCTCGAATGTCCCACTCTTCCATGTACAATATACCATCTGCACAACTCAGACAAAACTACAACTTTCTTCACAAGCATATTTCAGGTACCAATGACCTTCACCAAAAAAAAAAATACAAAGAAAAATTCCTCCATCAATTTGAGACATGACCACACCTTCCTCCAGTGTGAAGACTAACCACTGTAGGTACTGTACTGTATCATGACAACACACCTCATAGAACTAAACAGTGATTGACGGTAAACTTTTGCAGTTTACCCGGTAGTTCTTCAACATTTAAGTAATCTTTGCTTGGTGGTTAGCATCTGAAACACTTGCGAGATTTTGCCTCCCAGTCTGTAAGGAGCACAGTGTAGATCACGTCTTAATGTGTTTAACAAATATGATACAGTACCACAGTAATCGCTGACAGAACCATAAACCTACAAACAGTATAAATTTCAGTATGGGGTTCATTCTACACCGTTTTTCACACCATAGAAATTAAACCACAACACACTGTACCACACCACACTGCACTTTTATCAGATACAGTATAGGAGAACACTTCTCAGCACAAGAACTCACTTCATCATGGTTGTGTTACAACCTTCATTTTAAATAAGAATATTAATTATAATAATTATTAAGCACTAAATTTGTATACAAAGTGGCATTATAAATATACAGCGCTCTAAGATATAATATGTAAAATGTACAATAAAAAACATTAAAATTATACTGTACCATACTTAGTGACATTATCCTTTAATGTTTAACTTTCTGTCCATCAGCCACAAACAGTCTCATAATAAACTAAACCCGCACATATTAACCAACATGGGATGAGACGAGGTAGTATATCAACTAACATTGATTAAACCAATAATTATACTGTAACATGTAAGTCAATTATGGTCATAACTGTAAATCACTTATGGACTGTAAAATAATGATGTTCAACAATTATGTAAGGTAATGGTAAGTGGAGTCTGCATGATGTAACCCATGTAATGTTGGGTCGAGGTGGTGAGTCTACCAAGTGGATAAGTCAGGGTTTACTGATGGAAGGCATATCAAGGCACAATGCGTTTGGTGATACTGTATGCCTAAACAGCAAATACTACTGAAATGGGAAGAGTCTGCAGTGTTCTTTAATTCAGCCATTCTAGTTCTTAGCAGTAAAGGACTACTGTACAAAGAATTAAAATAAACACTGTATCTTTACTTCCGGTGTTCATCAATGTTGTCAACAGGTCAGTGTGAGCTGCACCAGAATACCAAAGCTAGATGTACATAATTATGTGATTAGGTTCACTAAGAATTACAAGAACACAACATAGAGAACCTCTGACCAAGAAGGCTGGTAAGAGTATACAGTACAGTAAGGATATTAAACAGTACTAAGGCTCTCTGGCCATCAAACAATGACGATGTTGGTACCAGAGTAGAAAAAATCTTGATCAGTCTGTGGTAAGGAATCTGTTACAGTATGCAGTTATGGAACCCTGAAACAACATTTATTCATACTTCTTCCTGTTGTGTTATATACAGGGAGATGCTAGCTACACAGGTGCAATATATTATGTATAAATTTTAGTGTAAGATCCTGAACAAAGATACTAATTAATAATAATGTACAGTACCACAGAATTAAGCAAGCAATTTTGTATTGTAATTTATTTTACTACAAGTAAATATACACCATTAATTGCATACTTATAACTATATACAGTAGTGGTATACTAATGGCTCTGGAATTAAATACAGTACTGTATATCTATCAGCCTAATGTCATTAATAATTTGACCTTATACCTGTACGTACACTATGTAAGTAACAATAATGTAGTTAAGTAGCAATAAATAACAATATAATTTAAGTATTGTAGCAATTATGTAAGTAAATAACAATAATATAAGTAAGCACTGTAGTGATTATGTAAGTAAATAACAATAATATAAGTAAGCACTGTAGTGATTATGTAAGTAAATAACAATAATGTAAGTAAGCACTGAAGCAATTATGAAAGTAACAATAATGGTCTTCTGGTCCTCCAAAATTCATAAACTGACACAGATAATCAATTCTTAGGGGCAACTCCCCAATACAGTACAAATTTGGGAAAGGAATGATATATAAAGTGAAAAAATTATCGTGCAAATAAGAAACTTTACAGAGATATATCAAAGGAGAAAGAAAAAGTAGCATAACATTATATATTGTGTAAAGCGACTGTAGTATATGAAGAGTCTAAAAAACCAGAGCTCTAAATACAATACTGTACTGAGAGGACACACCGGTAGCTTCTGATGATGGAAAACTTTCAATCCTGGAACACTCTAATGAAAATAAACAAGCAGAATACAGTACTTCAAGGCTAAGGAAGTAATATAATAAGATTATCCACAGTAGTACAGTCGTGGAAGACACTCCTGTCAGTCCTTCGTCCCAACCCAAGACATGACACGACACAGTGAGCCACCTATGATGCCCAACAATGTCTGTGATGTCTCGGATTCACAAGTTCACGGACGAGACAGAGGGCTGACAGGACTTTTTTTCCATGACTGTCCATAATAATATAAAAATGCATTAGGTACCGTCAACAACTACTGTACTGCATGACCATCAAGAGAGAAGGAAGTTAAGGTTCTGTAGAATCCCTCTGAACCCCAGAGTCTTACATACTGTACCTTCCCCAGCAATGTTCTTCTTTAGGAAACCATAAAGGATTATTCTACAACCCATACAGGCAGTCCATGTCTCTTCAATGCCTCCAAAAGTGTTACCCTCACAATCCTTCTTTAAGTACAGTATAGTTGATAAGTTTAACTGTCTTCCCCGGGGCATCGTGCCGTACCCATTATTATCCCCGAGTACTTTACACCACACTATTCTGTACCCAGTAATTCTCTCTTATAGAATTCTCTGTTCTTGATTATAATTACAGTACCCCTGTACTGGAATTTTCTTTCAAAGGATTACTACACATCAGTTATAACAACCAAAATAGCACCACAGTGTATTAGTAGTGCACATGGTACAGTATTGAGACAGCATTACTGTACTCTTCAAATACATGATGTGATGATTATTACAGTACACAACTGTACAGTACTGTAGATCATTCACCAAGTACAATTAACCACCATAAATGAATTTAAGACAAATATTTCTGCGCTCGTCTCAGTGCTTTATCCTTCATTGAGCTTCAACATCGTCTACAATTATTCATCTCAATTATCTTATATCATGGCACATACTGCAGGAACAAACTACTGTATACAAGAGGCTCACGAACTCTGAAGACAAAGTTCCGTTTTAAGATTTACTTTGATAACAGACAAGTGTCAAATGTAAGAACTGCCTTCTATTCCTTTAGTTAGAATAAATACCGTAAGTGTGAGACTTTGTAAAAAGGAAAACATGCAATGGTGTTAGGAGACAATATAAAGACTATGAATTGATTCCTTTGTTCTGATTCACAAATATTCAGTAAAAAAACAAGAAAGAAGATAAATGGCATTCACACAAACAACAATAACAACAACAACAACAGGAAAGACAAAATGCAATAAGTGCTTGCAAATCAAACTTTAGAATTTGAAGAATAGTAAGTTTTGAAAATCAATTTGTATACCATTACAACCGCAAGCTTTCACAACCACAGATGGCATGACTATGGTGAAGTTTCCACACCGACGACTTCTTCAGTGAAATTCAAGACAGACAAGTGTTTGAGAGTAAAGGTTGCCACGTCCCCACCACGGCAAAGTCCAAGGGGCCATAACTATGGGCGGTAATGATAGAAAATACTGATTATTCAACAGTCAACGGGATATGTAGGTATAAGGGCAGCTAGTTCCTCTCAAGGGTGCTCACCTCCCTCTCTTTAATTACATAACAGCTAATTGTACAAAAATAAGAGAAATAATCACTCTAAGAAAGACAATTATCAACAGGTACTCCACATGTGGCTATTATTGGTCCTACTGCCCTCCCCTGCTGTACGTACTTTGACACAAACCTTTGTTTTCTGATTTGAAAAATGTATCTGGTTTTCATCTCCCAAATCCCTTATAAACTCCCCCATCCTCGGAGTTTTCTGGGGACTGGGAAAAATTTCTTGGAATTTTCCAGAAAATGTGCCCCTCGGAAAATTGTTCCAAAAGCCGGAATTTTCCACAAAATTCCAACTTTGGGAACGATTTTCCTTTTCTCTATCCATACTAAGACAGAGAGCCTTGTATTGTACAGTAGTATATGGAGATGTTACACCTACTGTAGCTGGGTAGAGGAACGCTGCTATAGTTCCCCACCACCATGACGGACAACACACAGAGCCCTCCAGCCATCAACAGTCGCTTAAGGGGCAGATCATGGTTACCACATTAAGTGTAAACAACTCCCACCAATAAGGGAGGCATAATTTATAAATGGAGATGGTATCTTATGACACACAAAATCATTTAAGTCTATACCTGTATAGGAGCTAACACACGCACACAGTAAGGCTTATTCCTTAGTAACTTTTTGACTGAAATATACTGTACTTTTCTCTGAGAAGGTATCTAAAGGTTTTAACTATTTAAGTACCTGTACATCCAGAATAACACAAAAACACAAATATCACACATCATAAACCCATAGTTGGCGAGTAATTAGCATTTAAATGTCATTAAAATCTTCCAAGCGTCATTACGACCAATAGTTACTGGTCTATAATCTCTTTTGATTCATATTGCAGCTGCATAACATTCAAACTCACCACACTAGTGAAGTGTCACAGAAAATGACAAATAATTGGAAGGGGTAATTTGTATGCTGTATGTTGTTTTATACGAATTATACCAGTGTCTGTGCATATAATCTTAATTATGTATAATGTACTGTACTGATAGTATTAAGAGAGAACTCAAGGTATGTATATGATGATTGGGAAGGCCCAACTGATACGGACTAATGTACTATAGTGAATAAGCGTGACCGTGTCTAAAGGTTATGGTATTTACGTCTGTGTAAGATTAGTAAACATAGCTACCCAAGGTATCAGATGAAAATATGTACCTCGGTGTGAGCTTAATACACATCGTTACTTCATGTGACAAATAACCACAAACAGAACAATGATTCAAGAATCTTATGATCGTGTTATACAATTGTAAAGTGTGGGGGAATGAACCATACATAGAGAAAAAGGTGAAGTGGGTACAGTATACCCAAACCAAGAACCAAGGCCTCTGTTCACGCTGGCGCCTAAACCGCCCATGGCGACAGTTTCGAGGTGATGAGATAGCCAAAGTAATTTGCCTGAACCTGACAAACCAGACAATTACTGTAGTATGTAATTTAGAATTAAGGTATGTGACTAAGGCATAAAGTCACAATATATATAAGAAAGTGTACAGTAGTGTGGGGGCCAGAATAAAGACATGGTCAAATTTTAATCATTGGCACCCTTAGGCCTATTGAGTGTGAAGCATGAAGCATTGTCCTCAGTGAGGCTCGGCATCTCATACACGCAGGTCAGTACACTACAGCTGGTGCTACATCAGAGTATTTCTGGAGTTTTGTGATGTTTTATGGATTTTTGTGGAGATTTGTGATGTTTTGTGGAGTTTTTCTGAAGTTTTGTGATGTTTTGTGGAGTTTTCTGGGGTTCTCGAGAGGTTTTATATGCTGAATGCGAATCTATGGTCCACGACTCTACTGCGGGGTAATTAGTGGTCATAATGAGGCTTCGAGAATTTTAATGAGATATTCTGCCCCAGAAGGCGGTAGGATTCCTCCCCAGAAGACGGTAGGATTCCGCCTAAGAAAATGATAGGATTCCGCCCTATAAGACGGTAGGATTCTGCCCCATAAGACGGTAGGATTTCGCCCCAGAAGATGGTAGGATTCTGCCCCGTAAGATGGTAGGATTCTGCCCCGTAAGATGGTAAGATTCCACCCTAGAAAACGCAGCAGCAGCTTACATCATTACAGCACTATCAAAGGTCTTTAACTACACTACTAGTGTATGAGGTAGATGGTATACCAGAAATAGAAATGAAAAATGCTCATGAAAATATGTTGAACCTCAAGTCACATCTGGTGAGATAAACAAAAACAGGACTGTCACACTACCTCGACTCTTCCCAATAAACTAGTGTACTTAAGTATTGATCTATCATAGGGACTTTTCATCACTTTTTTCATTCTGGATTTTTCCAAAATGTATAGAGGTGACCCTGTAGCTAACTAATGATGACCCTGTAGCTACCTGAAGATGATTATGCCCCATGGCCACCTGTAGATGACCCTCTCCCAGAGCCTCTGTAAAAACCACCACAAAGTATTGGCGAGTCAAACATATTAATTTATAAAGTTCAATCAATATAATTTACAGCAAGAGTAATAGTGCATGACCATGCCTCCCCGACATGGCCCTACCCATAGACCCACGGCTCTTGTCGGCACCATCAACTCAAGATTCTAATCCTGACAAATTAAAGACCTCCTTCATCACACATCCTCTTGGCCACCACCTCCCGGCAGCTCCAGCAACCCACAAAATGCCTGGATGACGAGGAGAATGGGTTCAGAGTGAATGAAATGGATTCAAAATACTATACTCACAAAATACGTCTTGAGTAGGGAAACAGATGGCACGTGAACAGAATTATGTTAACACAAAAGACTTGGATTATGTTAACAGGAACACTGAAATTACCAACACAATTCAACTAAGTCAAATTCATTGAATATGACGGTGAGACGCATAGCAACACACCTGGATGACGAGGAGAATGTGCCCCTAAGATACTTAGTCGGGAATTTAACAGACATATTTATCAGTCTCATTTACTGTACACATTGGCTTATGAAAATTAGGCTATGAGCTTATATTAAATTTCTAAGATTAACTTTTACAATCTAATCAGTGTTTGAGCTTTGTAATTAAACTGATGTAAAGTGCCTAGAATGGCTATACATTGTGGGCAGAGCTTCTGATCACTACGTCAGTTTGTCCACGAGTATAAATTACATTTCAAAGTTTTCTACCATTGACAGATTATTCCCTCAAGAGTAATGAGAATCTAAAATACAAAACTAACAATAATTTCAATACTCTCATCAAATTCTCTGAGTTCTGCAAATCAAAGAAATCCAACTTAAGTTTTGAATGGTCATCTCACAGCTTCACAAGAAACAAATTGATTCCCGATGGTGGCTGGACATTCAAAACACATTGCCTTAACACTATGTACTCCACACATAAAGATATATGAAGTTTTCAACATAAAATCAATACATCTTGAATGATTTAGCTCACTGTAGGTATATACAGTATGACTTATGGCTACTCAGACAGGTTATCTCATAACTTAAAATTTACATTACAAAAGTGGCTTCAGGACTTTTAAGAGAAAGCGGATGGTACCTCTTGCTAGGGAAAACAAGTCTCTTCCTCGGGGTAACTCATTAGTTTCACACATGTTTTGTGGACGGTGGGGAATGACATGAATAATTAAGTGTTGTAATTACTAGCCAGCAATTGTGACCATGACACCACCACCCTCTCACAGTGCCTCTCCTCACGTGAAAACCACCAGAAAGTATTGGAGAGTCGAACACGCTCATTTATAAAGTTCAGTCAATATATACATGAACAGAATGATGGCTGCCTCAACAATAGGAATATATAGTATATATTTATATACATTGGTTACTTTCACTATCGAAGGCAGAAGGTGACAACTAGTGATATGGCAACACAAGCAAAACACACAGCACAAAAGACTTGAATATTTTTAGTTACTTAACATTGTTATGTCTACAATGTTTAAATGTGTGGATATATACATATGGAAATCTGATATCATGTGTGTTTTTTGGGGGAGATTCAGCATGTACTATTCTTAATGCAAGTCAATGCATATACTGTACACTACAACTGACTCACAAATCTATGTACAGTAAAGCATATCACAAACATTATTGGAAACCTAAATCTGAATACTGTATAAATCCCACTGCCAAATTACTTTTTACATGAGTTCCACCTAAGACTTACTGTCAGTTTCCATAACTTTACTACAGTACAGTACTGTATATATGTAAATGAGAACAAATAATTATGATCAGCAATTTTACAAAACAGTTACCGAGGACAAACTTATGAACAAAGTCTGCTAGCACTGACGACCACAGGTCTTAACAAACCCCAAGGCTACATGGTTATATGGACGAGACATTTCAACGTGACCAACAAACTGGGGCTTAAAACATTACATTTTACTCTGCATGCTCACCCAGGCACCAAAGTTAGACACACAACATATATGAGGTATAAGTATGTCGTATAAGGTGTAAAACAAAGTGATTTAAGAAACTAGAAAGTAATACTGTAAAGCCATTCTGGATACACTTATTTCAAATTTAGGCAACAATTTTCTTTTTAATAAGAGGGGTGTGGGTTATTAATTCTATCAACACTGAGCTTAGAAAAACTGAGAGAAAATTCTAACTCAAACAGCCAAATCACTTCATCAACTGTTGTCATGCATCGTGCTGGGTGAACTGACGTGATTTAAAATTGGCTGCATCAGTGACATATCTTGTCATGATATATATACCCTGTTAGCTACAACAATCTGATAAGTGAGATTTCCCTCAAAATATATGACAATCCATGAACAAATCTTTGGAATCAAATAATTTTAAGTAAAAGTTATTCATATCCACATCTGAATAAAGGTTTTATTCCACTGTAATTTTCCCCAAAGGAATACGAAGTTCTTCATCATGCAAGAAGTCTGAATGAATGCAAAATAAATTCCATAAGAAGTCTGGCAGAATTCGTTACCAAATGAACAACTATCTTACCTTAAATATGGCCGAGGAGCTACCCTCCGCCGAGATCGTGCGCAGCTAAGGGCAATGGGTTCTTCATTAATGATTACGTTACTAATTAAGTTTTCTGTATTGATTATATTACAAATCATCTTTTTTATCAATGAATATATTACTAACGACTATCATTTAAACTCTCCTTCACTCGACATTTTGCCAAGTTAAATTATTAGGCCATATTTCAAGCATTTTTACATAAGCTAAAGCAGGTATTTCAAGGGTAGTGATTAAGTTATTGTAGTGAGTGCATTAATACTATCATGGGTCAGTGACACCTACTATAACATTCCTCACAATGATCTGAAAGCTACATCATGATACTGTACTGTTGCCTTCACTGCTCTAAGGTGACGTAAGGTTAGGCTAAATAAGGTAAGGTTTAGATTGCATTTGGTTAGGTTAGATAAGATTAGTTAGGTTAAATGTAAACTCTACAGCTTGTAAATAATTAAGGATAATCACACATTTATCAAGGTCATTAACCATATAGTGTAAAAGCATTGCATTAACTGTCTACCTCATGACTGTGATCTTTGTACAAACTCAGAGTTACCATTTAGATGAAAACTATTAAAACATATTAACTGATTTTTACAACGTTGCGCTGTACAGTAAGTCTTGTATCAAATCACCACAAGTCTTCAGCTATATTAAACAGAACTAAATGCTGACATATATGTACAGGTTCTGTTACACATTGTTCGAAACAGATGGATATTTTGTGTTGCTCTATCGGTGAAAACTTTTATGGTGGGGGCAAATTCCCTCCGTCCCTCCCATTCTAAAGTTTATACAGTATTATTAGTATATTTTTTTTAACATAAAATGCCTGAAACATCATCTTTTAATGCTGAACATTCACTACAAGTCCCCTAAAACAGTCCTTTGCATCCCCTGAACAAAATAACTCAAAATTACCATAAACTCCCCATAACTGTAGGTAACCCTTCTGTGAGTATAGTACTGGAGTATAAAAAAATGGGGGCACATTATAGTGGAAGAGGTCCAGAGGGAACATAAGCGAGAGGGCAATGCCAGTAGGAATTCAAGGATCAGAAGGTGTTTGATATGTTCAGAGTACACAGATGATGTTCAGAGTACACAGATGTAAGAAGATACAGTGCCTTATTAAGTGTAGCACCTGAGTATATGAACAGATGAGGTAATGGGAGGTGGCTGTAGCACTGTGGGTAGAAGGAACTTTGAGATGCTTTAATAAATGTCTCAATATTTACTTATTTTTCAACATATGTTATTACAGTCTCAAGAACCTCAGCACGTAGTTATTTATTTGGTCGATACAGTGTCGTCAAATTCATGGATGATATTATTTAATGGAGAAACAAACAGCATAGAGGAAAGGTTTCAGGAGGGTGTGGAATGACTTTAGACAGACTATGGGAGGAGACGCAGACAGAGAACTAAGAATCTTATCATTCAAGGCCACAAAAATTAGTGGTTATTAAAGAATATGTACAGTAGTGTCTTGAGGTTAGTTAACAAGATTCTTAACGGTACCTTCTCTCAACCAGCACAGGACACAAGCATGACTAAAGGTGCAGTCAAGGAGATAATGACTTCCCTTTTGAACCATACCACACTACCTCACTCTCCTCGTATGGACTCGGAAGTTTATAACCTGAGTTAGCTAGCATGCAACACCTTCGATGGTCGCTGACTTCCTCAAAGTAAAAACCATTATGGTGGATGGACGGACAGACTGATGAACACCCCAAAACATAATGTCCTTTGAGACCGGTGCTGGAGAAAAGTGACAACACAACATTTGACTTTCCTACACAAGCCTGACTGTAATAAAGAACAATAAGCAAGTACTGTACTGTATTATCTAATCTTCACTGGTCAATTGTACTTTTACACACTAGCTGCACTTATGTCATCTTCAGTTTCCTGTCATAAAGGCAGAGAAAATATGTTTGTAACTTCTCTACCTTAAGCTTCCCTCTCAAGTACATTTAGTTCATCAAGACAAGACACCGTTCTGTATATATAGCAACACTCCATCCCCAGTTGAGGCAGCATGTTGGTCTGTTTATAAGTATATGTAATGATCTTGTAAGTACTGTATCGTACTGTATGGTTGTTATGAAATATTTTCCAAACACCAAACCTTCAAGTAATAACAGCTAAACCATACAGGTGCAGAAAATGGCCACAGAGCGATGATGATGATGATGAATTTCCAGCAGACAGCCTCCCCCATCAAAGTAAATGCCCTCAGAATACACCAGAGGTAAAAGTTAAATTCCCTTATGGATTATCAGATGTTCCTAATACTGTATTACTGTTGCACTGTGATATTATTGGGTCGGTGAGGCAACAGTGACGCCCTAAACCAGAATATACAATGTTTGACGACTGAATATAACATTACTGCACTTACTCGTCCACACAACTGAATAAGGGTTTCCGACACACAGCTGTTTGTGTCAACTTAGCTGACTTTGTCTTTGGAGTTTCACACTTTGAGAGTTTCACATAGGCGAATGTTTGTATTGTCACTGCTGACTTTGGATTCAAGAGTTTCTACCACACAGTCACACAGTTTATTTCACTTTCACACACACACACACACACACCTCTCCACATCTGTGACTGCGTCTGTACTGATATATCTTATACCACATATTGCACTTATTCATGAACTTAATGGGTTGTGGGTAGGATACTTCAGATTCACCGGCCTGATTGAACGAGTGAATGAAAAAGATTATGTGATGCCCTGTCTTTATGTCAACACTGAAACTCAAGCATCCTTAAACCTCCACATATAATGACAAGTAAACCAACTAAAACTACATTACTTAATTCTCTACAAAACCCAAAAACAAAACCAAGATAGAAAAATGCAGTAACTTTCTCTTCTTACACACACACACACACACACACACCCCCCAAGATTATGTTAGGTGACATTATGCAGACACTACTCAATGTTATAGTTCCTCACTCCCTCAAAAATGCTATGTAAAATATGTTTAAATTATTCTTTCAATATTTGACGAAACATTCAGCCTACATTCAATACACTTACATTATTTCAGAGAGAGAGAGAGAGAGACGTACAATCGTTTTCTTTACCAGGAATACGTGTTTCTGTAATGCCCCAAGTCTTTGTATACTAGAATTTCAAATAAAGTTCTCCTTCAACCTCTTCCAACAGCATTAATTTGTACTAAAACTATGAGTGCACAAACAGCATCTGAAAAATTCTGTATGAGAGAAGTAAAAAATCTATGACCAAAAATACAATACAGTTGACACAGGACCCGAGACAATGCACGCTCGTCTTTTCACTCAGGTTATCTTTAGCGCCTTATGACTGGGGCAGGATTATGGGTTTGTCCATATTTATTCCTTTCAAAGAATTACTTATTGGTTCTAAAATCTAAAACAATATTAAAGAAACAACGGCTGTAACTCTACCAACGAGGAACGAACCAGAATAAAAAAGATGTCTACACTAAAATGCTCTATTGGCAAGGATTTGTACACCTAAATAAAGGTTCATGGCCTGTGTGAATTCCATACACAAATAATTAACACAAATAAATAAGTCCATTCTCTCTACAATGTACTCAGTAAAAAAAATATTCTACACCCCTGTCTCTGAAACCATCCACAACCATCACTATGAGAGAAACAATGATGAGTGTTATTCTTGGTCCGGTGTGTCATATTGTATAATCCCGTAAAGGCGCAGAATAATCTTTTAGTGAGTGTACAATGCCTATATTAAATCTCTGTAAACTCGTTAAAATCACAGGTTGAAAGTGAATTAACCTAGCAGAGCAGAACACCTAGAATTGATCCACAAAACAGAGAATTGTACAGTACCTGGTAATGACAGTACTGTGTTGTATTACCTTCACATGTCATACTCACCCCCCCCCCCCACCACCCCCCCTAATTCTGGCAAATATTCTTATCACATCTTGGTTCTGAAATAGTGATTCTACTTGACAAAAATCCCATCACTAACAGGTAAATTCACAGAAAGTTATTATTAAATATATACTAATTTTCTTGGTATTCTGGCACCTATTATTAAACAGACAAAACATATATAGTACATTAATGAGCCAAGCACCAGGTACTGTTAAAAAATTTCAAGATATTATATTGTTTTCTCTACTGTAGCCATAAACTAAAGTCTAACATTCAAAAAGTTTCAGGATTTCCAAGACCTGCCTCAAGCCTAGACCAGGATACAATATACAGTACTGTACTTTATAAACATCACTGTACTGGTAGACCCCAATTTACGAAGCCTCGGTGAATGAAAATCTGAGATTACAAAAAATAAAAAAAATTGTTTGATGCTGTGTGTGCGTAAACCCATTTTTTTTCTTTAAAGAGTAAATCGAAACAATCCTGATAATGAAAATAGTGAAGATGACACAAATGAACCACACAGAAACTGGATGATGGGACCAACTCAAACACTCCATGACTAGAACTTAATGATGGTCGACCAGAACATATTGATGTGACTGGAGAAGATCTTTAAGACATTCAGTAACTTTCTTCACCATGAGATACTCGCCCAGGTACAGTACATGTAGTGCCTCAGGAAGAACCCCGGCAAGACTACTACAGGTAAACAGATGCAGTAGTACGAACATACGAATAAAACCACTAACAACGGTACCATAGAGTTAAGAGTTTCACCTGTTGTAAATGGTTATTACAACATTTTCTTCAAGGTGTCTGTCTGAACCATTTTCTTTAATTTCTCCTAAGTATAAAATTATTACCATACTGTACTGTACTGTATGTATTTCACTTATTATTGTTTCATTAGCTTATACAATAATCAATGAGAACACCAAAAAATAGTTCATTAAAAACGTATGTTGTGGCATTTTGAAGCTTCTTATGATATTTTGAGGATTTTTCTTTTTGGTGAGGACACATCACAGCTTCTAAAATGGGTCTCTATGGGAAAATTTGTTTTTATTTATGAATTTTGGTTTATGAAAGGCTTCTCAGGAATGGAATCTTTTCATAAATTAAGGTTTAAATTATAACACTATTACACAAAACACTCACTCAACCCGTACCAAAGATTAACAGAAAAATCTACCAATATTTCATCCAATCCAATGTTACAATTCAACGTAATGTGTGAAATATTATGTTACCAGCTTCATAAATACAATGGTGTACAGTACAGTAAAATATAATATATCAAAACCCTGAAACACCCACTTGGCATAAACCATCTGTGCTGCATGGGGGAGCAGGTCATGGACGGCGTCAGCCACCTCGTCACCCTTGGCAACCTCCCACGGGTCCTCTACCGCCAGGCCGTGCATCCTCCCGAGGTAGCGACATATGGCCACCGACTGACTCAGAGGCTTCTCGTCCACGTACAACACCGGCACCTTCCCATACGGCATCTCTGAGAACGTGGAACTTATTAGATACGTCAAGTTAACACAAAGAAGAACCGAGTAACAATATTAAAGCAAGTAGTTGGCAACACTGGACAGATGAACCACCTGAATGGCTAGTAAGCTGATGAGTGATGAAATGATACATAAAATATATGCATATGATATTAATAAACTTTTAAAATAATCATTGGAATAATATTTTTGTAATACAGATTAGGTGTAAGAAAAATTACAAATAAAAATGAGACCTAACAAGATTACAAAAACTTTAAAAGTGAAATATTAAGAACAGGTGTCTGGGTCAAGGAGTCAAGTTAGGAAACTTTTCTATTGAAGAAAAGTTCACCAGTTTTTCAAAAACATACCAAAACTGGAGGAGGAAATAAGTGATCCTACTTAGAAAACACAAAAGAATCTGACCTAGCCTCCTATCCTACCCCTAGGCTGTTCTGTCTTTGCTCCCAAAGTTGGGCCACCGGACTGGTGTCTACACTACGGGCACCTCAGGTACCCACAGATTACAACGCCTTCAGCTGCCTGGCCGTAGAGATTAAAAACACATGAGAGGGCATTACTCAGGCGAGTGCTCATACCAAGAACTAGTGAATGTCTGCCCTATCAGAGGTCACAGCCTCAGGTTTATTATTGTAAAAATGTTACCTTTGGTTTGTTTAATATTTATCCTACAGTGATACAGCCGAAAATAGATCCACCAATCACCATTACATAAAGCCTTACTTCACCAAGTATTACCAGCACGAGACCCAGGGTGGGGTCAGTGCACCTCTGGTTGACTGTACAGTACTAGTGTGGACAACAGGTGGTGGGATCTCTTCGGTTTGGTTAACTGTAATTCTTTTAATAAAAAAAATCAATCTGACGTAGTATTATATTGCAATTTCGAAAATATCTATATTTTTTGGAGAAACACCCAACAATACTTGGAAATAAGGATGTAAAACTATGTCAGATTAATGTGTTTAAACAAAAATGGCACTTTGTATTGTATACCTGCAATTTTTAAATGTAAACTTTTATGGCGATTTTATTTAATATCTATCTGTCTGTCTCCGTCTGTCTATCTAGCTTTTTCCAGATGACTTCAGCAGTCCACGGGGAACATATAGTGGCGACACGATGGCGGACAAATTAAGTTGAAAAATCTAGTACCAGCACGCGAGGCCCACAACTGTCCTGCAGCACTACAGAACAAGAGCTGCCTTAATGACAACTGAAGTCTAATTGAGCCCCTCCATCCCAGCCAGATTATGGTGGTTGTGCGGTGCTGGGGAGTGAGGGGAGGGGAGGGGGGGAGAAGAGTGGGGAGGGAGAGGTGTGTGAGAAGTGGTAGAAGGGAAGAGGGAGGGAGATAGAGGGAGATGAATTAGAGAAGTGTCCAAAATGGTGAGAAGAGAAGGAAAAAAATATACAAGAATAACGAAAAATGGCCAGAAAGACAATTAGAAAGTGAGGAAGAGAGAGAGAGAGAGAGAGAGAGAGAGAGAGAGAGAGAATGCTATTAGGTGAGAGGGGTGGGTGAGGGGGCCGGGAGGGGGGCCGGGAGGGGTGGGTGAGGGGGCCGGGGGTATTAAAGACGAGTGTCAGGTCGAGGGAGGTTATATGCAACTACACAACAAACCCTTATGGGCCACATCTACTCCTCTCACCATCACGTCATGATAAACACATGGGTAAATTCACCTTGTATTCAAAAGTCATAATACAGAGATTAAAGTTTGTATTTATTATGAGTTAATAAGTACAACAGAGGAAGGAATGAAGAAATTTATTATACAATGACATTAAATACTGTTGATTGAAGTTTGTTTTAATTAATTAATTTAGAAACAGGCTGAGAAAAGATAGGAATTTCCTCGTATTAACCAAAAAAAATGATACTAAACGTAAATGTCTATTAATCTTTAAAATACAATAATAATGACTTAAAAAAATAAGAGAAACTCGTGATAAATGATTAAAAAATGACGATGTATAGACTAAATAATCATGAAGGAACGGCACTCCTGTAGCAGGGGAGTCCAACCACCCCACAAGAACCCTCAGGTGGTGGAGAATGGCAACACGAGTCTTAAAAAAAAAAGGTAATCCTTGAGTTTATATTTTCCCTCAAACAAGAAAATATTATTGAGTCTACGGATCACCTGAAGATTAGCCCCCCCCCCTGTTAGCTGAACTATCCTGACGTTTAACCACCTTGATTAAACAATAACAATCAATAAAACAAATAAAAGAAATGAACAACGATAAACATATAGACCAACAAACAAAGAATATGACAAATAAACAATGAAAACAATACTAAAAAATAAATAAAGAGTAAAAAATAAAGTGGCTGGCCAAACAAGGGCTGTCAAAGGGCTTTATTTCACCCCAAACAACTATGACCCCCTCCAAACACACGCCCTCTTTTGACAGTTTTCTTACATGTGACCTTTGACCTCTTGCTTCATTGACTGTAAATAACACATGAGAAGAACAATATGGGGTGGTGAGGGGTGGGGGTGGTTGGGGGGGGTGGTGGGGGTGAGGGGTGGGGGTGGAGGGGGGTGGGGCCAGCAGTAGGCTCTTGCCGCACCATCAACTGTGTCTTGGGGCGTCGCTAATGTCACACGATGTCCCTCATTGGGCGTTTGCCACTCCATATTGCTTCGCCTGCCCCACCTCACCCCTCCCCCCCAAGCACCGCCCCACACATCCCCGCTCTGCCCCGGCCCTACGAAAATCTTCAGATGATTCGATGACCTTACCTTGTGCTTCAGAGTTGACTTATAACAGGTATCTAAGGGCCTCAAACTACGGGATAAGTCACTGTCCACCCAGCATTAATATCAAACTTTAATCCTTTGAGGCCGAGGGAGGGTTAAACCATCGTCCTCGTAAGGTTAAACCATCGTCCTCGTAAGGTTAAACCATCGTCCTCGTAAGGTTAAACCATCGTCCTCGTAAGGTTAAACCATCGTCCTCGTAAGGTTAAACCATCGTCCTCGTAAGGTTAAACCATCGTCCTCGTAAGGTTAAACCATCGTCCTCGTAAGGTTAAACCATCGTCCTCGTAAGGTTAAACCATCGTCCTCGTAAGGTTAAACCATCGTCCTCGTAAGGTTAAACCATCGTCCTCGTAAGGTTAAACCATAGTCCTCGTAAGGTTAAACCATCGTCCTCGTAAGGTTAAACCATCGTCCTCGTAAGGTTAAACCATCGTCCTCGTAAGGTTAAACCATCGTCCTCGTAAGGTTAAACCATCGTCCTCATAAGGTTAAACCATCGTCCTCATAAGATTAAAACATCATCCTCAAGGCGTCAACTCATCCTTCCCCTCCAAAGTGTTTTAAAGTGGCACTCACCTGGTTTTTTGAAGGGCCACTCCGTCTCTCTACTGAAGCGGACGTCCTCGTAGGGCTGGTCGGCGGCAGCAAGGACCCAGCGGACTGGTTCTCCTCGCCCCCGCAGGTTGAAGTACATCAACTTATACTGAGGCATCTCCAAGGGCGCTCCTCCGCTCCTGTTTGGGGGATGGTCAGAGAATCAACAACACGGTTAGATTGTGGTAGTGGGTGGTTGGTGTGGTGGTAGTGGGTGGTGGTAGTGGGTGGTTGGTGTGGTGGTAGTGGGTGGTTGGTGTGGTGGTAGGGGTGGTTGCTGTGGTGGTAGTGGTGGTAGGGTGGTAGTGGGTGGTTGTTGTAGGTGGTAGTGGGTGGCTGCTGTGGTGGTAGGGTGGCTGGTGTTGTGGTGGTAGTGGGGTGGCTGGTGTGGTGGTAGGTGGTTGGTGGTGGGTGGTAGGGTGGTGGTTGTTTATTAGTGGTAGGTGTTAGTAGTAGTGTGATGGTGGTTGTGTGTTCTGATATACTGTTATATTTGATACATTAATTATCCTAAACTATTATCATCATCATCATCATCATCACATCATCATCATACAGCCTCTCCATTATCACCACAGCACTACTAATACACCACACCATATCACTACCACACCCCCACCACCACACCAAGATGAAAGGGAAGGTGCAGCTGGCTGATCTTAGATTCGCTGGTGCTAGCTGGGTCCCCCTACCTGACCTGGTGCCCAACCCCTCCCCTCTCTCTCAACACCATCCTGCCCGTGTGTGTGTGTGTGTGCGTGTGCGTGTGTGTGTGTGTGTGTGTGTGTGTGTGTGGACTAAATATACCCTGCAACATCCTCACATGTTTCAGCCTGTGTGTACACAAACAACAGGTCAACTTCGTCCATTTCTTCACCCCTCCTCTTCCCCTCCCCCCCTTCCCACCACCCTCCTGTGACCTGTGTCTCTATCTCAGCCAGACGAAGCTAGCATAACAACGCCAGCACGAGCGATCAAAACAGCCTGGCTTTTACTCAACCTACAATATAACAGATAACCCTGACGAACGTTCTCTGCCTTCTGCCTACACTGGCGTTCTGGAGTAAGACATTTGTTGTGTTAAGGAGATAAGAGCGTTTTGTGGAAACCTTGGTTAGGATAGGTTCAAGGGGCATCCTGTAGGAGTGAGTGGTGAGGCGGCAGGTGGGTGTCCCTCTGAGGTAGATATGAGAAGTGTGTCGACCACGTCCCGTCAGAGAGAGAGAGAGAGAGAGAGAGAGAGAGAGAGAGAGAGAGAGAGAGAGAGAGGTGGTGTACAAGAGAGGCAGTGTACCATAAGTGGCAGGCCAATAAGCGAGTGGTTCCTTAAAGGCCACAAATCGAGTTTTCTTCTGCACCAAATCTCATCCCGTTTCATTTAATTCTCTGAAGCAGTGTGGGCCGCCTCGACACCCCGGGGGAAGGGGGAGGGGGGGGGGGAATAAGGGGAAGGAGGGTGGAGGAACAGAAGAAGAAAAGGTGGGAGGAAGAGGAGGATGAGGAAAAGGAAGACGAGGAAGAAGAGAAGAAGCAGGTGGAGGAGGAGGCTGAACACTGTAATTGGTACTAACTCAATAGACTTCACAAGACGGTGTACATGAGCGGTGTTGAGGCCAAGACGGCACGGTAATATACTCTAGCGCCTCAACCTACTTTCTGTCTTGCCTAACCTAACCTAACCTAACCTAACCTTGTCTAACCTAACCTAAACATCCCTACCTTACCCTTCCCTAACCTAACCTAACCTTGTCTAACCTAACCTAAACATCCCTACCTTACCCTAACCTAACCTAACCTAACCTTGTCTAATCTAACCTAACCATCCCTACCTTACCCTATCCTAACCTATCCTAACATGACTTACCCCAATCTACTCTAACCAAACCCACCTGACGTCACTAACCAAGGTCACTGGCCACCATAGATTACCAGTATTACATAATAACAATAAAATATACCAATCATTACTTCACTCTGTACAAGTCACCCCCAAAAGCTGTCAACTTCTTCAATACTCGTTTTCTTTTTCTTTTTTTCCAGCAATAACTCAAATAAAGGGGGGGGAGAGAGAGAGAGAGAGAGAGAGAGAGAGAGAGAGAGAGAGAGAGAGAGAGAGAGAGAGAGATTAATATAAGTTAAGCAGGAGAAAGGGGACCTGTCTCTCTCAAACTCTCAATTATCTCTCTCCCTGTCTCCCTCAATATCTCTTTACGTTCTTCTCTCTCTTCGTAATACAGAGAGAGATAAGAGAACAACTCCATGGTATAGTGTCAGTGTAATTACGACGCCATTTTGTTTTTCAGGTGAGTCAGAAGTAATTTATATGACATTTGTACTTAAGAGAAAAACAATGTTAACTTAGGATACTTTAATAACTTGTTTTATGGGTCGTTAATGAAGCAGGTAATATTTAGTATCACGGTTAATGAAGGTAAAAAAATATAAATAAACTTACGATTATTTCATGATTTTTAAAGATGATGGGAAGAGGAGGAGGAAGATTAACAGGAGGAGGAGGAGGAGAAGGAAGATGGAAGGTGATAACAAATGCCTCTCTCTCTCTCTCTCTCTCTCTCTCTCTCCACAACATAACTCTAACGTAAGTGACGTCATTCACTAACCCATAAAACCGTGTCGTCAAACAATCATTCCCTCCTCCCTCCCCTTCCCTACCCCCTTCCCTACTAATGCTATGTTTACGCGCCAAATCAATTTTCCTGCCAAAATTAGCTTTTTCTCTCTCCTCTATAAGGTATCAAGAGTCACCAATCACAGGCCTGTCTCCCCTCCTTCCTTACCCTCTCCCTCCTACCACCTTCCCCTCGTTAATATGGCTGAGGTAGCGGAGAAGTATATAGTCAGGTGAGTCAGAAAGGCTTGTGGTTATTACAGGTAGATTAATATAGACCAGGTGTTATCATACGTCTCTCTCTCTCTCTCTCTCTCTCTCCATCCTTACCCTAAAACATACACCGTCCTTCCCCCTGAACTTGGCCCCTGAGGTTTACAACAGTGCCCCCAGGGATCATCACGGCCGACTGCAGAGCAATATACGGGACCTCAAGAAACGGAGACCTGACCTGACCCCTGAGGTGTGTGTGTAGGAGGGTCTTACCTGAAACTAATAATAATATAAACGAAGCAAGAGGTGGAGTTGAGTAAGAGGTGTAGAGGTGAGGCAAGAGGTGAGGGGTGAGGAAAGAGGTGTGGGGTTGAGAAAGTGTGAGGGGAGGAAAGAGGTGTAGACTGTAGAGGTGAGGCAAGAGGTGGAGGGTGAGGCAAGAGGTAGACTGTAGAGGGTGAGGCAAGAGGTGTGGAGGTGAGGCAAGAGGTGTGACTCGTGTGAGGGTGAGGCAAGAGGTGTGGAGGGTGAGCAAGAGGTGTAGACTGTAGAGGGTGAGGCAAGGGGTGGGGGTGAGACAAGGGGTGTGGGGTGAGGCAAGGGGTGTGGGGGGTGAGGGAAGGATGGACTGGTGACCTTTGGAGGGAGGTAATCGATCGGGGGGGTGAGGAGGAGGAGGAGGAGGAGGATGGTGCCCCCCCCCTTCCCTCCAACGAAGGACTCCACGTCTTCTCCACCACTCATCACCACCACCACTCGTCTCCAACACTCCACGCATCTCCACCAATCACCTTCACCACCCCTCATTTCCTCCACCACTCTCCACCACAACAAGAAGAGGAATAAGAAAAAAGACGAAGAAAAAAGACGAAGAAAATGAAGATGAAGAAGACGAAGAAGAAACATAATAAAAGAGAGAGAGAGAGAGAGAGAGAGAGAGAGAGACCTTACAGTACCTCACCATTGATCACACAACATGCCACAGATTTACTACAGAATTTACAGACCAAAAAACTCTAAGCCAAAAATAAGCGCGCGAAATATTGCCAGAACCCACCATTACTTCCTTCTATTAATAACCTTTACCCAGAGACCAATTACGTCACTGAATAATAAAGATTTTACAGTAATTTTCGTATATAATAAGTAAAAAATAATAAAGAAAAGGTTTATATATTTTAAAGTAGTTTTTTTTATATTATTAGAGTTTAATGATGCCAGACGTTGCTAGTAAGAATGCTTTTATGTTTACGTTAAGGACTTCGCTATACACAGTGTGGCATTTTTAACATCATTAGAAATATTTAATGTATTTGAAAATTTTACCAGAGAATAAATTAGTTTCAGGAAATAAATGACGTTCGTGTGAATTGTATCTGGGAAAAAATAATCTATCACATTGCCAATATTGTTTATAACTTATCAATAAACATTTTTCAGTCGTGATTTTAATTTGATTTTGTCGCCGTGAAATAGATAGATGTTGATAGATAGTGTTGCATCAAGTGACAGTAGGCAGAAATACTTGGACAGTAAATCAGTGACAGTCAATAAAACAAAAAATGTCAGGTGTTTTTTTTTACCGTAAGTGCCAACAACAGGTGACTCAGGCCACAGGTAAGGTGAAGTAACAATTAGTGGCCAGCCTCACCTTAATGATGTCAGGTGAGGTTTCCTTCCCCCCTCATTAACCTGTCCTGTCACCTATAACTATGTATACCTGTCTGTCACACCTGTCTAGTGATGCAAACATATATGAATTTAATATATAGTTTATACATATGTTAACACTTATATACGACACACCTGTTATATCCACACACCTGTTATATCCACACACCTGCTCTCTCCACAACAAACGAGGAGGCGATGGAGGGGAGAAGGAAGAAGGAGGATAAGGAAGAAGAGGAGGGAGGAGAAGGTAAAGAAGGAAGGGAGGAGGTAGAGAGAGGAAGAGGAGGAGGAGGAGGAGGAGGAGGAGAGGAGGAAGAGGGTGAGGAGGTGGTGGTGAGGAATGTAATTAATGACATTGATAACACCTGACCACCCAAGGAGTCTTGAGAGAGAGAGAGAGAGAGAGAGAGAGAGAGAGAGAGAGAGAGAGTAGACCACACCTACACCTCCCTCACCTCCTCCTCCACCTCAATACTCACACTCGGCGTTACAACTGTACCTGGAAATACAAAATAACTTTATGTTAGTACAGGTAAGTATAGGATTCCTTATAGAGGGGTTTGCTCTGATGGATATAGATTAAACACAAATAATATTACAAACCACGACCGTCACCACAACTACTACCACAATCACCACAACTACCACCACAATCACCACAACTACCACCACAATCACCACAACTACCACCACAATCACTATTACCACCACCACAATCACCACAACTACCACCACAATCACCACAACTACCACCACAATCACTATTACCACCACCACAATCACCACAACTACCACCATTCAGTCCTCAGATAGTCAGACTACAACCATCTTTTCCCAGTATGAACACAACCTGTCATCCTCCGCTTATACTATTCAGGTCACGTTTATCCTGGAGAAAAAAAAATCACACGATCTTAAATTGAGGACTGTGTGTGTGTGTGTGTGTGTGTGTGTGTGTGTGTGTGTGTGTATCATCACTATATCATGATTTACTGTAATATTTCAGGTAAGACACTTTGTTATGTTACAGTTTCAGATCATTTATACTACCAGAGCCCCTCCCCTCAGCCCCTCCCCTCAGCACCTCCCCAGCAGAGCACTCAGCCCTCCTCTTCTACGCTGTGGCTTTTTATCTCGATAATTTAATTCTAGTTTGGCCATGGTTGAATTTATCTCCAGTAGCTGTGTGTGTGTGTGTGTGTGTGTGTGTGTGTGTGTGTGTGTGGCAGATGAGACACATTAAATCATTTCTAATATATTGATAAAAGAATCTGTCTCACCTCAAGAATTTGCACCCCAGCCGGCTTCTAAGGTCAGGTCAGGCTGTAATTGTGGTCAGCCAGGTTAGGCCAGTTAGGCCGTGGATTGCTTGGGACAGGCCACGGGTGAGGTGATCCGGCACTACACCCACGGCCATTAGACAAACTTCCTGGCCAAGTTGCGCACCACCAGCTGGCAATACTATATTTAGTAAATACTGAAGAAAAGATATTGATTATGTTAGACGATGAGAGAGAGAGAGAGAGAGAGAGAGAGAGAGAGAGAGATTAGCAATATTGGTCGACATTCCACACAAACATCTCTCTCCTACATTCATCTCCTCATCATCTCACCCCTCTCCTCCCCACTCCTCTCTCTCCCTCCCCTCTCCTCCCATCCTCCCCATCTCCTCCTCGGCTCAGCTCTGCACAACACCACTCAACCATCTTACTGACTCGAATATTTCACAAGGTGTAAACAACAGATCCACCTTGAAGTAAATAGATCCACTTTGAAGTAAACAACAGATCCACCTCAGAGTAAACAACAGATCCACCTTGAAGTAAACAACAGATCCACCTCAGAGTAAACAACAGATCCACCTTGAAGTAAACAACAGATCCACCTCAGAGTAAACAACAGATCCACCTTGAAGTAAACAACAGATCCACCTCAGAGTAAACAACAGATCCACCCTCGAAGTAAACAACAGATCCACCTCAGAGTAAACAACAGATCCACCTTTTGAAGTAAACAACAGATCCAATTTCAGAGTAAACAACAGATCCACCTTCCTTGGAAGTAAACAACAGATCCACCTCCTCAGAGTAAACAACAGATCCACCTTGAAAGTAACAACAGATCCAATTTCAGAGTAAACAACAACAGATCCACCTTGAAGTAAACAACAGATCCACCTCAGAGTCAACAAAAACTTCCTATTTCTGGAGGAAGGTTCATACATAGTTTACAATAACACCGTCTACCCTTCTCCCCCAGACAAGACCTCTCTCCACACACACACACACACACACACACACACTCTCTCACACACACATACACAGTCACATACAAACGTACATACATACATTCACATATACACACACACAGCATTAAAACCAGAATATCCCCTATATAGAGCATGACACACGCACACACATACATACATACATACATACATACATACATACATACATACATACATACACAGAAAGAGTTTTAAAGTAAATTAATATCTCAGCCTCAGAGTTCATTAATCACCAGAGAATCACAGGTGCGTCAAGGGTAATTAGAAGTAATTAAGTGCTTTTGTAAACATCAGGTGTGTGTTGGTTACAAGTCTAGGAGATTTGTACCTGTTTCCTTCCCTTCCCGCTCTCTCCCTCCTCTCTCCTTCTCCAACCCCCCCCCACCCGCCCCTCCCCCACCCCGCCCCCACTTTCCCTCTCACCACCAGACCTAAACAAAACACACGACCCACAATGCCTCACGTAAACACTGACAAACAAATGAGAATCAGGCAGCGTCACGCACGGGGATAATTTATCAGTATTTTTTGTAAGACTCTTCCTCCACCACTGACCTCACTATTAAGACTCTTCCTCCACCACTGACCTCACTATTAAGACTCTTCCTCCACACCTCACTTTAAGACTCCTACCACTGACCTCACTATTAAGACTCTTCCTCCACCACTGACCTCACTATTAAGACTCTTCCTCCACCACACCTCACTTAAGACTCTTCCTCCACCACTGACCTCACTATTAAGACTCTTCCTCCACCACTGACCTCCCTCCAAGACTCTTCCTCCACCACGACCTCACTATTAAGCTCTTCCTCCACCACTGACCTCTATGAGACTCTTCCTCCACCACTCACCTCACTATTGAGACTCTTCCTCCACCACTGACCTCACTATTAAGACTCTTCCTCCACCACTGACCTCACTATTAAGACTCTTCCTCACCACTGACCTCACTATTAAGACTCTTCCTCCACCACTGACCTACTATTAAGACTCTTCCTCCACCACTGACCTCACTATTAACCCCCCCCCAAAGACTCTCCTCCACCACACCCAAACCTCCACCACTGACCTACTAATAAGACTCTTCCTCCACCACTGACCTCACTATTAAGACTCTTCCTCCACCACTGACCTCACTATTAAGACTCTTCCTCCACCACTGACCTCACTATTAGACTCTTCCTCCACCACCCACCTCCTATTAAGACCCTTCCTCCACCACTGACCTCACTATTAAGACTCTTCCTCCACCACTGACCTCTACTATTAAGACCCTTCCTCCACCACTGACCTCACTATTAAGACTCTTCCTCCACCACTGACCTCACTATTAAGACTCTCTCCACCACTGACCTCACTATTAAGACTCTTCCTCCACCACTGACCTCACTATTAAGACCCTTCCTCCACCACTGACCTCACTATTAAGACTCCTTCCTCCACCACTGACCTCACTATTAAGACCTTCCTCCACCACTGACCTCACTATTAAGACTCTTCCTCCACCACTGACTCCACTATTAAGACCCTTCCTCCACCACTGACCTCACTATTAAGACTCTTCCTCCACCACTGACCTCTACCATAAGACCCTTCCTCCACCACTGACCTCACTATTAAGACCCTTCCTCCACCACTGACCTCACTATTAAGACTCTTCCTCCACCACTGACCTCACTATTAAGACCTTCCTCCACCACTGACCTCACTATTAGACTCCTTCCTCCACCACTGACCTCACTATTAAGACCCTTCCTCCACCACTGACCCTCACTATTAAGACCTCCTCCACCACTGACCTCACTATTAAGACTCTTCCTCCACCACTGACCTCACTATTAAGACTCTTCCTCCACCACTGACCTCCACTATTAAGACCTTCCTCCACCACTGACCTCACTATTAAGACCCTTCCTCCACCACTGACCTCACTTGACTCCTTCCTCCACCACTGACCTCACTTAAGACTCCTTCCTCCACCACTGACCTCACTCATTAAGACCCTTCCTCCACCACTGACCCTCACTATTAAGACCCTTCCTCCACCACTGACCTCACTATTAAGACCCTTCCTCCACCACTGACCTCACTATTAAGACTCTTCCTCCACCACTGACCTCACTATTAAGACTCTCCACCACTGACCTCACTATTAAGACCCTTCCACCACTGACCTCACTCTCAAGACCCTTCCTCCACCACTGACCTCACTATTAAGACCCTTCCTCCACCACTGACCTCACTATAAGACCTTCCTCCACCACTGACCCTAACTATTAAGACCTTCCTCCACCACTGACTCACCATTAAGACTCTTCCTCCACCACTGACCTCACTATTAAGACTCTTCCTCCACCACTGACCCCACTATTAAGACTCTTCCTCCACCACTGACCTCACTATTAAGACCCTTCCTCCACCACTGACCCCACTACATCTCTCCACCACTGACCTCACTATTAAGACTCTTCCTCCACCACTGACCTCACCATTAAGACTCTTCCTCCACCACTGACCTCACTATAAGACTCTTCCTCCACCACTGACCTCACTATAAGACTCTTCCTCCACCACTGACCTCACTATTAAGACTCTTCTCCACCACTGACCTCACTATTAAGACTCTTCCTCCACCACTGACCTCACTATTAAGACCCTTCCTCCACCACTGACCTCACTATTAAGACCCTTCTCTCCACCACTGACCTCACTATTAAGACCCTTCCACCACTGACCTCACTAAGACTCTCTCCACCACTGACCTCACTATTAAGACCTTCCTCCACCACCCTGACCTCACTATTAAGACCCTTCCTCCACCACTGACCCTCACTTCATAAGACCTTCCACCACTGACCTCACACTATTAAGACCCTTCCTCCACCACTGACCTCACTATTAAGATCCTCCACCACTGACCTCACTATTAAGACCTCTCCACCACTGACCCTCACTATTAAGACCCTTCCTCACCTCTGCCTCACTATAGACCCTTCCTCCACCACTGACCTCACTATTAAGACCCTTCCTCCACCACTGACCCCACTATTAAGACCCTTCCCACCACTGACTCCCTACTATTAAGACCCCTTCTCCACCACTGACCTCACTATTAAGACCCTTCCTCCACCACTGACCTCACTATTAAGACCCTCTCCACCACTGACCTCACTATAAGACTCCTCCCTCCACCACTGACCTCACTATTA